CCTGAGTGGACCCCTTTGTATAAGACCAGCTCAGTCTGGTTTAACTTAAAGAAGGACTCAGCAAGCTAACACTGAGAGATAGTGCTCCTTTCCCCAGCATTTAAAAACCTAAGTAGTCTTGAATTAACATGTATATTGCAAAGACAACTGTACAAAAGTTAAGAAATGCCAGGCTGCCTGTGCAAACTTAATTTAGCTCCTTTCGGCATATATAACACGATACTATCTTTCACTGTAGGAATAGCTATTAATTTCTCACAGCACGCCTGTCTCAGTGCACAGTTAATGAGCAGCTATTAGATGTTAACTTACTTGTTGCTGAGCGAGTGGGCCTAGGCCTTATTTACTACAGACAGTTCAAACTGCCTTCACGACTGAAGCATTAATTTCCTCGCAGGGAATTCTATGGCTCTCATCACTACACTACCCAAGTGCTTCAAAAATAGCAGTAAACTTAGTTTCGCAACACCTCTGTAAGGCAAAGTGGAAGCATCTTCCTTGTACAAGTTCACTGATGTCTAATCTTTCCAAGAAAGGCAAACATTTTTTGCTGAAAAGTTTTCCAAAGATGGCTTCTCTAGAAAACTTCTTCCCCAAAAGGTCAAAGTTGGAGCATGCTAGAAGCTGGTGATTCTCAAGCAAGGTGCCGTTGTCAGCCTGGGTGCCTTGGCATCCTTTCCAGAGTGCCACACAATGTTAGCACTCTTAGGTGCGCAAACATGATTCACAAGACAAACTCAGAGGGTGTGTCTAGATGAGTGCGCACGTGTGTTCCCCTGGGGACAAACAGCAGTGCCACAATATGTGCCACTGCTATTTCGCCCTGGGGAACACCCAGGTATGTGAGCTCTGGCATGGCAAGTTATCCCAGGTGGGGTAGGAAGGCTGGGCCAGCACCTGGGCTGACCCCAGCAGCCTTACCTGTGGTCCTGGGGGCTTCCCAGTGATCCGGCAGTAGGGATCTGTCTGGCAGCTGGAGTGTGGCTCTGGCCAGCCAGGCTCTGGTTTCAGGTGGTGCATGCTGCCACCCGCTGCCCTGCTTTTTTGCTCTGTGGGTTTTTTTGATGCTGAGATCTCCCAGTGTCATAAAAAATGCCTGCACTGCAAATTGGCAGGCCAGGACACGCCTGCATGTGCGGCGCATGCGGGGTGAGATGCTACAGACAGATCTGCAGCGCCGCATACTGCATGTGCGCACTTGTCTGGATGTGCCCAGAGATTTAACATAGGAATCCATAGCATTAAAACCATTCCAACCTGCAGTGATCTTTCTGAGCTCTTTGCAACAGAAGAATTGCCCTATTATTTTTCTGTAGTCAAAAAACCATTGACAATTAAGAGCAGGCATTTCCCAAGGGATGCCTTGAGTCTAAGGAGGTTAAGAATTGTTGTTATAAGCAATTGAAACCAGGGACTTATACTGGAATGTGTTGGGCTTCCCTAACTAGAAACAGCCTTATCAGCTCAGCCTGTCACAGAGGCAGCCATGCAAGTTTAAATTCACACCCTAAGTTAGATAGATGCTAATCTTCATACAAGCAAAGCTCTTAGTTCTGTACAATGCACATACAGCCCCTCCTACTGCAGAAACAGGAAACCTGCGAAACCATTTCTATGGTGCGTGTAAGTGGATGAGGGGCAGCAGCCAGAAAGGTCCCTGTTTTCTCTCAGCTCCCTCCTGCACCTGGTCAGTCCGAGACAAACAGACAAGCACAGCTACTTCCCAAAAGCATAAACAGGAGCCCTGGGAAGCCTCAAGACTTGCCAGAATCCACATCAACTGGCAGAGCGCTGATGCCCCAGATCCCCTCCCCACCGCTGAAGGTGGGGGCGGTCCCACCAGATAGGGGGAAGGGAATTCAGCATACAGACCTCTGTCTAGAGGGGACCAAAGTCAATGTTAAGTCGCAGGAACGACACAGAGAGGAAATTTAGTGTGGGCTCTGCTTGCACGGCCGAACTGTTACACACGCTACTAACAAGTGCACTTGAGTTTGTTAATAGTATAACCAGATCAAAGGCAGAATTTTCTATACAATGGTAGATTAGGTACCCTTGCCCTTTAAGCCATCATCCTGTAATAAACAGCTACTTAGAGAAGTCAGCCAAAGACTTCTGCTAGGCCACATGTGTTAGCATTCTCCCTAATTGTTTCCTTGAAAGGAAAAGTGAGTGCTTTGTTTTTTTTTTGCAGGGAGAGAAGAGAGACTGTGGTTCTACTACAGCTGGAAGCAACTACTTTAAAATCATCCCGAGAGCACCCTCCGAACAAACACAAGTCCCGGCTAGTGCCTGGCAAGGCCTCTGGATCCAGTGCAGGGTTCCCTGAGAAGCAGTAACCCCATTTGAAAAGCTCCCAGGAAAGCAGCTTCTTTTCTAGGCAATAGGGTCAGTAAGATTTGATCACACTGGCTAAGAGGCAGGAAAACAAGACTTACACTTTGGCTAAGACACTGATCTCAGCCCCCCACTTCCCTTCCCCTCCCACCCTGGGTTGGACAAGTCACTGCATCTGAAGACCTAATTTGTCATACTTTACAGACATGGATAATGCCACACTATTCGACTCCGGTGAGGAATGATGTGTGTGTAGGGCCTGACTACATAACAAGGCTGCCCTGTGGTTAGCTCTGAGACTACATAAAGAGATGTCCAGGACCTCAGGACAGATCCACTCACTAGAGATGTGCTCCAGTCCCCAGCATGTGTTTTGGAAAGGACTAAAATCAGAAGCTACCTTCCTGGTGACCTTTCAAGCCAGGTTGCTGCTTCCTGTTGAATACAGCAGGGGATCCAAAGATGACCTCTTTGCTTTGAGCAGGATCTCAGGCTAGCACAGATTAGCTCCCTCCTGCTGTAACAGAAACTTGGCCTTTTTTTTTTTTTTTTGCTCCTTGCTCCCGGAAAAAACACCCAAAAAGTGGTGCTCATTTCCCCTTCCAGAGAAACAATTCAGCAGAGTGCTAACACATGTGGCCTAGTAAAAGTCTTTGGCTGGCCTCTGTAAATAGGTGATTATCATAGGAAGACTGGCGAGAAGGGATGAGACTGCTACACAAGAGCAGTCTCCCCACATTAGTAGGTTTGTATGAGCGGTGGGCTCCCGGGGGAGATGCCAATTACTGTTCTCACAGCGAGAGAGGAGCTGGGGAAGGAATTTTGTTACGAATGCTATTTGGGCATGTTCCTGTGCCTGGAAACCATCACTCCCACAGACAATTAGATAGAGATCTTGTACAGTACACACACATCTCTGGCTCTCCCAGTCGTGCAGTGCCTTATTTCTCCTTTCAGGGCTCAGCAAATATGTCACTTCATTTATTTTGCCTCTTCAATCAAAGCAATATTGACCTTTCCTGCTCAGACTTGCAAACATTCCCACCAGCCTCCATAAAACCCTAACTAAAGCCAAGATGACTGGGAGATCTTAGATCAAATCACTGTTTAACCTGACACAAGCCAGGCCCAAAGCACAGCATATTTGAAGAATCATAAGCGACTACAACCAAATTAAGTTGTATCCTCATATCAGTACAGTGCTGACGGAAAGAGTTTTTTTACTTTTCACGCTGTGGTTTGTTCAGACTCTTATGCTGATGCAAGGGCATGGGTGGCAGCAGTCCTCCCAGCCTCAGGTTTCCCCACTGCTTTTATCAAAGACCTAAGTTAGCTGCAGAAAGTAAAACCTTCACTAGATTTCAGTGGACTGGAGTCTGGAACTGCCAAAAGCATGCAGTGTACAGTGGCCACCCTGAGAAGGCCTGCCCATGCTAACTAAATATGCACTGCCTCATACCACAATTTCATAATCATTATACACCATACATAACTGCTTCCTGATACATCACTCACTGTTGAAAGTGCTGGAGAGAGACCAGCATTTTCTGGCCTTGTTTTTAATTACAGGGCCATGAACCTGAAAATGGGAATGGTGGATAATTTGATAAGCTTTTCTATTTGCCTTGTGTAACTGCATTCCCCTCTGCTGGGATAACAACTTGCTGAACCTTGGTGCAGAGTTTGCCAATTCAAGATAATTGTTCTTGGACTATCCACCTCTAAAGTGCTCTGCGCTGTCCTCCACCATCATCCCCACTCATCCCTAAGGGATATGGAACATCATGCACCAGAGACAACCCATTTTTTATTCCTTGGCCCAAGACCCATCAAGCTTCCAGAAGAAAATCCTTGGAGAAGTGTACTAGGACTATAAAGAAAGAAGACTGTCTGTCTGTCTGGAAGGATTCAAAGAAGTCTTTTAGGAAAGAGAACAAGTCTCCTGATATCAACATCTGAACGCTCAGCTGCACCTATGCTCCCCCACTACCATGACTACCCATCCTTACCTTCAGCGACATGGATCCAGATCCACTCTCCCTATTGAGGGACAGGTCACCAGACAGAGAGATGGTGAGGTCCATGCTTTCTGAAGCAGAAGTGCTGCCAGAATCGGAGTCCCTCTTGGATTGGTTGCCAGCAAACTGAGTAGGAGAATCCAGACTCCCATTAGCAAATCTTTCCTCAGCAAGGTTTTCCAGGTGGCTGCTTTCTGGATGGTTCCCGGCACTCTTGCACTCTTGCTTTGCTGGTTCCAGCTGGTTGCTTTGGTTTCTCTCTGCCACTGAACTAACCTCAGTGTCTAACAGTCCTGACTGGGGAGAAGCGCCTGGTTTTCCCTGTGGGCTGGGAACAGTTTTCCCATCCTCCATCTCAGAAGAGTCAGAGCTATTGATGGTTTTCACAGAGTTCTCACTCTCTGGCTTGTCATTGTCACTGCTAATCCCTTCGTCAGAGATCTTGTCACTCTGTCCATCAACAGCATCCTGGGTTGGCTCCACAGGTAAGTTGGGTCCATTCATCACTAGCGATTCTGGGCGTTTCTCTCCCTCAAAACTCAGCTGGCTCACCTCAGAGGGGTCTCGTTTGTGAGTACCATGGGGCTAAAAGAACAGGGAACAGAGACAGTTATTTTCACATCTTTACAAAGGGGAAGAGGGAGGGGGTGAGACATAGGCACAGAGTTATGTAATGACCAGGGATCTGGGTTTTCCGTTTCCCATGGAAAAACGGAGAAAAACAAGGATTTTCCCCTTTACCAGAGGAAAACACAGATTTCCCATTTTAGCAGAGAAACCTGCAGATTTTGCAACGAGCTGTCTGCAGGCTGCAGAGTTCCAGCCTGCAGGGGGCTGGGAGGGAGCAGGAGGAGGGCATTCAGGTGGGGGGGCACCGTGTGCATATATATGCACTTGACCTCCAGGCAGCCTGGAGAGCTGCTCCTCTAGGTTGGGGGGGGAGGGGAGGGGAAGGTTTCAGGCCCCTGTAGCCAGGGCTGGGGCTGCTGCCCAACCAGGGGGTGCGTACAGCTTGGAGCCCAGGGCTGCAATGTGCGGTTGCAGGGCCCTGGTGGGGGAGGCTCATCCAGATGGTGGGGAGGTGAGGCCAGCTCCCTGCTGCATGCACTCCCAGGGTGGCAGGGGGTACCCATGCCCCCAGATCTGTGCACGGGGGCGGGGAGCCAGGCTGCCTGCTGCAGGCTCAAGCTCCCTGCCCTGCCGCCTCCGCAGCCCAGCAGGTGTGACCTGGCAGAGCGGGGCCATGCAGGAAAGCTGCTCTACCCTCCCCTCTCCTCCCATTCTAGCAAAGTGTTAGAGTGAATGCTGACCCACTGTGGTCCAGAAAACAGGATCCACAGGCAGAGGCTTGGATTGAGCTGTGAGGGGGATGCTGCAAGCCTGGACTCAGTGAGCACAGAGCACCCAGACTGCCTGGATCTAGAACTGCGCATCCTGCCCTCATGTTTTGGCCTCAGCGCTTTTCAGAGCTCAAACATGCAATACTCTTTAGAACCGGAGTAACCTGCACTTGGGGAGATCCCCCCACTAAATAGCTTTACCAGTGTTTTAGGACAGAGGGTTGGCACCTCTTTTTTGCCTCTGATAGGAATTCACTCCCCAAGGTGGGAGACCTGATCTCTCTTTCACCTAAAAAAGCCCTGGGAATAGCAAAGGGCAAGGCATGTAGCAGTTTTGTACCCCTCATCCACTCTGCACTCTCCATTATCAAAGCCTTTTTGATGCAAGGAATGCTACACTAAGTGGTCTGTGTTTCAGAAAGCTGTTGCAGGATGTGAAAGCGGCATTTCCACCTGCCTTCCTGGGGACAGGTGCACTAACAAAGAAGCAATCGACAAGCGGTTCTGAAAACCCTGGAGTGGTGTGTTTAGCGGGGGCGGGGGGTGGAGTGGGTGGCTCTGGGATACTGAAGTCCTTGCAGGTCGGCCTGGGAGATTTCTAAGGATGCTGTATTGAGCCCAGGCTGTCAATTCTGTCTACCCTTGGCAAACACTGCCAGGTTTTAATAGCTTCCCATTTGCAGCAGGGAGGGATTTTGATAGCAGTTGCACTGTGGGAGCTGAATCTCTTGCTTGGATCTGGAGAATCCTGACACTCACTGGTGATACTCCACAGCAAAGCTTCCCAGAGGCCACACTCTGGCCTATTTCCAGGGTCCTTAAACAGTGGCATTGGAGACAGCTTTGCCAATGTCCATTACCCTGCTGTCTCCATCCCAACCTCCCAGCCCACATCGTGCTCTTACTGTTCACCCTCTTCTTGGCACAGCCCTGGCCCATTTCATATGCAGACAAGGCTTCTTAAACCACCAGGAGTGGAAAGATGCTGACTACTCTTCCCTTGGGTCTGGGTTCAGTGAAACTGCCTCCAGCATGGCTTCCTCTTCTCGAGTTCAGACCCACAAAGGGAGGAGCCTGGCACTTCCTTACACACAGGATACGGACCACTAGTTCACCCGGCAGGCCAGCCTGTTTTAGTCCCTGTTCTGAGTCATAGTTTGCCACTTCTTCTCAGTCCCATGCTCATGTTGAGGAACCACCACCACCATAAATATTCCAGCAGCAGCCAGAACCTACCGCTGCTAGCAAAACAGAGCCAGGACATGAACACACTGGCCTCACAGGGACAGGCTGTCACTGCAGCCTCCACTGACCCATGAAGGCAGCATGGTTGCCATTGCACTGAGCTGGGGGTCAGTCATGGAAAAAGCCTTCACTGACCTTGGAGCTTGTCAGCCAGTCTAACAGGGCTGCCATGCTGCTGGGAATCCAGCTTTCCCAAGAGCAGCAAAACGCTGTGGCTTCTTCCTCTGAAGGGAAAGCCTGGCCTCCTAGCTGCATTGTTTTCCAGCACCCTTGGCGCGCACGGAGCCGTGGCCCCTCCTGACTCAAGGAGCTGCCTTCCTGTCCACCTGAACAGGACTAACAAAGGCAGCAGCCTTCCCCCCGTGGGAGTCTGGGAGAGAGAAGATTAAAACAAAGTCTTCCCTTTAAAACCAGAAAGCTTCTAGGCCCTTTTTCCACAGCCGCCTCAATCTCCAGCTAGAGGAACTTTCACCCTCAAAGAAAATTAAGAGGCACATGGAAAAGGGGTGGGAGAGGGCATGATCGTGACTTACAGATGCAGGTTCTGATGAGTCATCCTCGTCTCCTTCCTCCCGATTGTCTTCAATTTCCTCCATCACTTCAGCCTTTGCCTCTGCCACCAGCTCACGCAGATCTCGGTTGCTAGTAACCTTTTTCACAAAGGGATGCTAAAGACCCAAACGTGTGTGTGTTAGAGACAGCCCCGCTTAGGACAGGCCTTAGAACACGCTGGGGCGAGTGGACTCTATGCCCGTTAAAAAGAGCCCAACAGCCCTGGGGCAGGCAGAAAGTATTTTCCATTTTCAAGCAACTGTAAAAACCCAGGTCTGGCCTTTACTAGCTTCCCCATGCTTAAATAAGCTCAATGCGCCCAAAACGAGTCTCACATATCCCTCGAGCAATCCAAGAGCCTCACAGTCAAGGACATGGTTTCTGCCTTGAGTTGAGCCTCTTTGTACTTGTGGGCTTAAATCCAGACCTTTGCATTGATCTGAACTCAGTTCTGTGCACTAAAAAATGTGCGCATGAGAGACATGCCGAGGTCAAGCGACAGCTCATGCAAGCATATGCTCTAAACACGGAGCAGCCCTGCTCCGCACAGTATCAACATTTACCAAACAAAGCGACAGCTGCATTTAAACAAGAGGCTTTTGCTGCAGACACCATAGTTTAAGAGCTCCTCTCCTTGACACTTACTGACTCAGGGGTGGGAGCTGAGATCTCCCTGTCAGCTGAAAGGAGCAGCAAAATCCTTGGGATCCATATGTGCAAACAGAGCAGAGGAATGTGTAACTGAAATTGGGGTCAGATCTCCCAGCACACAGAGCAATATATTTGTGTCAAGCTTCATCAAGAGGCTGGGGAGTCCCTCTGGTTTGCTGAGTGCATTGTCTACTTCCTGTTATTGACTAAGGTAAACATTCACTCCCTGTGAACTTTCTGAAGTGGCAAGCCACAGGCAAGCACGTTTCTTTACCATCTATATCCAGGATCTCCACTCTGGCTACTAGGCCAGATCCATTTTCCAAAGGAGGAGCGATTAAGCTATTATTTGTGTTGCACACAAAACAGAACGCTCCAAGGTCAAACAAGATGCCCCACCAGGCACGGTGGGTAGCGCATGGCAAGTGTGCTGTCGATATTCAGAGTGTTTTAATAGGCAGGGGAACGCACTTTATAATTTTAGGGGAAGGAAGAGGATGAACTAACTTGGAGCAAACTATGCTGGTTGCTACCTTAGAAATCAGAGCAGTTACTGAAGTCAAGATCAGTTTTGCTATGGGCTTCAGCAGGAATAGGATTACCATAATTATTTAGAAAATGAAAGTTCCCAAAGTGCACTTTCCTAATAGAGAATGAGATTAGGAACATCCAGGGAGGCCATCACCAGCAAAGCAAAGGACTCTGGAGATGCACAAATGAACTACAGGCTTACAGAGAAGCCATATGTTTGCCTTAAAGCTTCCCCATATGTTTGGGACATGCACAGATTATTCAGATACTTCCTATTAGGTGCTTGGGGGCTTCATGACAAGCTTAACATAAAAATAACACAGATCTGAAAGGTTCAAAGCCCTTGAGAATGTCCACCTACCTCCAGTAGCTGTGCTGCACTTGGCCGAGTCTCAGGGTTCTTATCCAGGGCAGTCTTCAGGAAGTCTCTGAACTCGAGGGACCTTTAAATGCACACAATCACTGGCAAGGAGCTCAGAACAGGGAAAGAAAGATCAAGTCCCAGTGGGCTGCAGTGTTTCTATCTGTTCTCTCGCTCATCCCAAACTGTAGCCTGAACTGCGTCTGTGCACAATCAGCATTTCATCCACCTTGGAGGAAATGCAGTGAGAGGCGGATTTTTTAAAAGGAGAAAAGAACAAGGGATCTGGCTAATTGGAGAATTGGATTTTCCCTTAATCCCAATGCTACCAGCTGGCAGGAGCAAATCCCAGGCTGCCACTCAATCCCAACTCCTGTCATGGAGCCAAGGTTAGACAGATCACAAAGGGGTGCTTGGGGTTACTCAACATGACACAAGGCCTAGTGCTGGCACTGCCTAATAGCTAGGATGCTGGAGACCCTTCCTTTTGACTCTCCTAATTTAAGAGATAGCCACAAGACTTGCTGAAACACGCAATATCAAATGTCTTGCACAGCTTTGGATCAACACAATAGCTGCAAATAAACTGAGGAACAGGCCTGCCTCAGAGTATCTGGGGTTTTTCTGTGTTGCCAATCCAAGAGAATGCTCTGGTTTCATGGGAGGATTTTAGCTTGTCAGAACTGAGATCTATAACAATGAAAATCCCTTTGATTATCCAAACTAATTCAGTGCTCCCCCAATATGCAGCTATTGGAGATTATGTGAGATCTTAGAGTGGGGAGGAAGAGAGAATCATTTGGATTTGTTCTAAAAGGATGATGTGTTTCCCTCATATTCTAGGAGAATTGTGCCTCATGTTAAATTTGTACTGAGACTAAAAGGACCGCTCATCTTCTAGTGCAAAAATCCTCAATTTTGTTTCTCATGCCTTTAAGAAGGGTCTCTGTATTGCAAGATCCCACTTCACCCACCACAACCCTGCACAAATGTGATATCGGAAAGCTACTGCCAATGCCACTCCTGAACTGAAGGAGCAATGGAGTGGCCAGTGTAGCTACAGTAGCTATACCGTAAACCTTCTCCTTCAGAAAGCTGAATATGCTGTCTTTAGAGCAGTCAAGTGGGAAGCAGCCCCTGGGGCTGAAACTCACAGCTAGGTCGCCAGTAGAGCTGTGCAGAGGAGTGATATTAAAATTCCAGGTCAATGGCTCAAGTCAAACAGCAATGTCACACAAGCCTGGACTTCTCTTTCCTGCAAGTGCCATATCATTGGGAGCTATTTGTATTCCAGGCTTCGCTATATAGATTTATTTTTGGGGAGAATTCTATAGCATAAAAATGCAAATATGCAAATATGTCACTGGGAAAAAGCTTCCAAGCTTTTGCCTGTGCTCATTAACAGACTATCTTCTTACCACTTAGAAGGGCAGTTGAGTGTGGGAGGGTCAGACTTGGCAATCTTCAGTAGGACTCTCATGGGGTTGAGCTCATGGTGAGGAGGCTCTATCTGAGCCATTTCTATCAGCGTTATACCCAGGGACCAGATATCAGCTTTATAATCGTAGGGAGTGTCTTTCATGGTCTCACACATTACCACTTCGGGAGCCATCCTGCAGGGAAAAGAACAAGGCGGGAGGTGGGGGGTGTCTGTCAGGCTTCTTGCTACCACCAGAAACATGTTTGAAGAAAATCGCAGCTGCACACAATGACACAATACAATATTTCAACCAGCCCATTTATCTGCTGTACTGCACATTCATCTGAAAAAAAAAAAAAAAAAAGGACTTCCTAGCTAGCTAAGAGACAGGGAAGCAGCATCTCACCCTAGATTTTATCATGCCTTTATATTCTCTCCTCCCTCCCCCTTCCCTGATCAGCCGAGACGGCCTAGGCAGTTTGTGTAAACCTCCAGGCCATTGACATCTGGTGTGGATGCTGCTATAGACAATAAATTAATGCTCACTGAGGCCATTCCTTCAGCAACTGGGGTGATTTAGAGATTAAATTCCTGAAGCAAGTTGTTGCTCCCATGCAACTTAGAATTGCTTTAAATAGCGTGGGAGTGGGGGTAAGAAGGGGAGATAGATGGCAGACTACACAGATGCATGTCCCCAGATACCACCTTCTTCCAAGGTTCAGGACGTACAGTATGTTCATCATCTAAATGCCCCTCCAAGCCAACGAGGTCTCAAGACCTGCCTCTTCAGCTGCCTCACTACATTCCTTGCTGCCCTCTTATGTGGAAATCCTTCAACGCATGCAGGGCATTGGACAGGATTTTTTTATGAAGCTTCTGAATGTATGTTACAATTGTCCACTCATAATAAGGCAACATCCACTCATAATAAGGCAACACGGAAACAGACCCCAAGTACCACCACATCCTTGTCCTCAGTACAACAGCACTACACAATAGTCTTCTGGTCTGATTTTTGGTACCCATGGCTCCCACTGTACCTCTGGAAAAGCTGCTTATCAAGCCAGTTCACTCACCAGTAAGGGGTCCCGATGAAGGAATCTCGTTTCTGCAAAGTCTTCATGTTTCTGGCAGAAACGCCAAAGTCAGCTGCAAACAGTTTAATTGCGTTAGAGGCTCCAAAGGAACCAAAAAGCCTTTCAGAATCATGACAGCCAGCTAGAACACTTAGTTCAAGCAAGTTTAAGAGTGCGACAATATGCTTTTTTCCCTCTAAACCAGGTATTGGGAATGAAAGGAACCTAGGCACATATGTGTTGTAAGGGCTGTTTACTTCCATCCATGAGACCAAGGACATCACATATTCCATGTTCATGGTACTGTTAGCAGGACTAGGCCTTTCACAGCTCTAGCAAGTGTATATGTAATAGGCCATGAAAGGGCAGCTCCACAATGGACCACTTGAAAAGTCTCCAAGTGACACTATTTGAGTGCTACTTGAGATAAAAAATGCTAAGAGCCAGTTCACTGGTCTACATGCCAAGATGCGAGTGTTTCTCAGTCCTGTTCCACACAGTCCCACCTATTGGTATTACTACCCTTATTGACACCCTCAGTAGAGATGCCCAGTGCTATGTGGGCTGAAGGGACTAGATTTACTTGTTCATCTTTTGGATGGGTCAGATGGAGGCCAGAGTTCAGCATGCTGGCAAGGCACTTTTGTTGAATCTGGCCTGAGTAGAAGAATTACTCCAGCCTCCACCACCGAATGTGACGGACTTCACCAGCCCTAATATTCTTCTGAAGATGGGCATCTGTATACTATATATATACTATATATACTGTGCACCTTTGCATAGAATTTATTCCACACCCAGATGGCAATTTCCGGGCACACCTACTCTAAGATGTGAAACAAAACAGAAACCAAGCAATTAAATTAACTGCAGAATTGCTGCTGTAACCAGAGTGACTAGACAGCAGAAGTGCCTTCAGGAAGAAGAGGTGCCCGAGACATGAGACAACTACTCCCTCTCCACTTTGTAACCACACTGCACAACATCAAGACAATCCCGTGGCTTTTATGCATGTATCAGCACTGCCCAGAGTACATTTATCAGTTCAGAGCACATACTCTGAAGCCACTGCCTGATCCCAAGTAACTGTTCTCAGCAAGAGGGCATGTTGTGACACTCAGGAGGAAGGCATGCTGAAGCAATTTCCTGAAGGCGTAAGCTGGGCAATCTTACACTAGGAATTCCCTGTGGAGAAAGAGATCTGATGGCAAAGATAAAGTGTGCATTCTGCTTCCCCATTCCCACCCTGCATTTGCTGAGCATCAGGCTAAGGAAGCCTATCTATACAGGGCAGCAGGCTTCTCAAGTCTGAGCCAGAGGCCAGTAGCTGGGGCAGTCTTCAGCGTCCATCACGCTCAGGCACCAACATTCTTGCTCCTTCTAAACACATCCTTCTCTTCTCCTCATTCATGCCAGTAGGTGGTAAAAAAACCCCATATGCCAGTCCTGGCAGCTATTAAGACAACACCCCAGATTAAACGGGTCACCTACTCTCACAGCATATTTTACCTTCCAAAATTGTGTTTTGCACAGTGACAGCAAGTTTCTCTTTTTTCATCAGCCAATAGTTTAAGGGTGGGGAGTGTCAAACAGCCTGTGAGCCCAATCTGGCCCCTGGGGCTGGACCACCCACCTCTGCAGGCCAGTTTCAGCCTGTGGGCTTGTCACCATGGCTGCCCGAGCCCCTCCACAGAGGTGTTAATCTCTGCAGCTACTGGAGCTGCTGTTTCAGCGCAGCTCGAGAACCCAGGGAGTTCAGTGTTACTCTCCGTCCCTCTCGCTCACCTTATTTGCCACCAAACCCAGGAGTGACTAAAATTGGTGGCAAGAGAAAAGAAGAAATGAGCAGCAACGATGCTAAGTTCTGGGTTCCAGAGTCGCCCTGAAATAATGGCTCCAGCAGTTGCGGGGATGTCACTGGTGCTGCTTGCAGGCTGTCCAGCCCACGGGAAGTCCTGCAGTCCAGATCCAGCACATGGAGCCAAGCCAGTTTGACACCTCTGCTTTATGAGATGTCAAGCAGTGTTGGAGGATGAAAGACCCTTATAAAACTCTGCTCTGCCAACCGTGGAGGGATATTTTTCCCTTGAGACAATGTCAACCTGAAGTTTTGCTTTTACACAGCTGACAGCCAGGGCTCTTGTGCATGTGGCTTATCAGACAGCTGTGTACAGTTGCCATATGTTTAATACAAACCAGTCAGACGTGAAGTAAAGCTACTCACAGCAGGTGTAAAACACACCAAATCATACGACACACCCAGCACATATGGAACAGACCGCTGATACACACCCATCCTTTCCGTGACATCCCAGCACCTGTTTTCATGCAAGGACATGCTGGTTTTTCTTGGGCTAAGAAGCTCACCAAGTTTGATGTCGCCATCCTGGGTCAGGAGCACGTTGCCTGCCTTCAAGTCACGGTGGATGATCCTTTTACCATGGAGGTAGATTAGGGCCTCCAACATCTGGCGGCAAATCACTTGAATCTGGGGTTCCGTCAGGCCTCGATCCAACTCTAAGGAAAACCCACCAGGTAAACCAAGTGCAGATTAGAATGGTTTCCAAACATGGCTACACAAGAGCAACAAATACAGCCTGAAATCCCAAGGCTGTACAACAGGCATATGTAGGCACCACATACGTGTCAGATCAGTGAGAGAGGTCACTGGCCTCATGCTATTTGGAAAGCTTGTTCCCAGAGGGGGCACTTGCAGTTCAATACTTCCACGTCTTCAGAACTGGTGTTCGATTAGCACCCCTCAGACACAGAGCTGTGGGTTACGTGGCACTGGAGCAGTGAACATGATATGAAAATTTCTCAGACTCCTGACTGAGATGCTGATTCCCTTCCCTCCCCGTAAAGCACTGGATGTACTTATTTTTGGAGCACCTTGAAGACAATAGACTTAAATTCTGCTTGCAAGAGGCAAAAAAAAAAAATCAGCATTGGGTTTGCCCTCTTCCACTCTCCGGGGCTAAAGGCTATACTAGCATTGGGGAGGAAACAACATGACACTCAGCTTATCCCAGCTTTTCTTCTTTTGCGAGTGTAATTAAACTGCCTTCCCAACCACAAGCTCTACCAAAAGTCTTCTGTTGGTTTAAGTGATGTCCACACAGGGATTTTTGCAAGCATGGTTATTAGGGCTGTGCGAGGCTTTGGACCGTGCTTAGGATGCTTCAGAGTCCAAAGCAGCATATCCAGATTGAAGTGCTGGCTTTATTAGGCTTTCCGAAGCAGTTCAGAGCCGCCTCGGAGATCTGGCCATAGCATATGATGAAGAATCAATGAAATACCTATAACTTTGTTGTTTTGTGTCTGATATGGATAAAATTTGCAGGAGCTCTGGATTCCTCAATGCTGCTCAATACTGTTTCTATGCACACTTTGAGGAAGTGGGATCTGGATTTAATACCTTGCGCCCATCTCAGATAGACACTTTACAAAGTAATGCAATGCTGCATGACTTTTACTCTACTATTCTGCAATTAATTGGTAGAGGTTCAAGCATCTTCAGAACTGTATTAACCAGTACCGCACAAGATCACCCTTAAAGAATGGCCTTTAAGCAAGCAGCTCAGTCATAGAGGAGTATTGAGAGTAGCTAATATCCAAAACTGGGTACAGTCCATTATTTGTATTACAGCAGTGCTTAGAAAGCCCAAACTCTATCAGATCCCCTCTCACCACAGACTGATCTTACCAATCTATGCATTAGGGCTTGTGCGAGGCTTCGGACAGAGCTTTGGATCTGGAGAAGCTTCGGACACTTTGGCATCCAAAGCAGCATGTCCAGATCGAAGCGCTGACTTTGTTAGGCTTTTCGAAGTGGTTTGGAGCCGCTTCGGCGATCCGGCCATAGGGTATCATAGGGAAACAATGAAATATCTATTACTCTGTTGTTTTTTGTCTGATTTGGATGGAATTTTCAGGGATTGTAGTCTCTGCTGAGTGCATGAAGTCTGCCAAGTTTCAAGAAGATGGGTACAGCGGTTTGGGGGGAACTGCACCCCAACTTCTTGAAAGCAAAACTCCTGTCACGTGTATGTGTTACACCACAGGAGGGTGAAAACTGCAGGAGTGGTGGCCCCTGGTGAGGCCACAAAGCCCTCCAAGTTTCAAGAAGATTGGTGCAGGGGTTCGGAAGGAACTACACCTCAAGCTGTGGACAAACAAAACTCATGACATGGGCGAGACTGTGTGTTAAGGTGCTGCAGGGCGAAAGCTGCAGGGATGGTAGCCCCTGCTGAGGCCACGATGTCTGCCAGCTGTCAAGGACATAGGTGCAGGGCTTCTCTCCTCTCGCTGCTGACAGGCAAAACTCATGACATGGGTGCTCCTGCAACTGTGTCTTTCTTGGGGGAGGGGGGGCAGGGGAAGACACTACTGCAGGCCTGGCTGCTAAGCTACTGTGTTACCAGTTACCAATCAATCATGATTCACTCAGGGACCAGCTCAATACACAGTAGCTAGCTAACATAATCAGTTAATTAGCAACAATTAACACCTACAAAACCACAGACTAAGGAGAGGAAATAATCAATATAGACAATCAACTGCCCCAAGAGGGAGACAGTCAGTTGCACAAGCACCCATGGCATGAGTTTTGCCTGTCAGCAGCTAGGGGTGCAGGGCCCCAGAACTCAGAACCCCTGTACCGATCTCCCCGACAGCTGGCAGGCTTCATGGTGCTACCATGCTTGCAGATTTCAGCCCGCTGCGCCTTAACACACACAGTGTCACTCATGGCACGAGTTTTGTCTGTCAGCAACTTGAGGTGCAGTTCCCCCCGAACCCCTGCACCGATCTTCTTGAAACTTGGCAGGCTTCATTCTTTCAGCAGAGGCTACCACCTCTGCAAGTTTCATCCAAATCAAACAAAAAACAACAACTTTATAGATATTTCATTGATTCCCCATTATACCCTATGGCCGGATCTCCGAGGTGGCTCCAAAGCTTCAGAGCCACTTCGGCCGGATCAAGTGGGAACCTGATCCGGAGCTCTGGATCGGATCACTGGCATCTGAAGTGGCTGGATCCAAAGCTGGATTGAATAGCTGCCTACTCACACAGGCCTAATGGTTATGGTTGTTAGATGCACAATTCTTTTCACACTCAAAATGAAACTTGGATGTCTGCAAAAATGTAGTATAGACCTAGCTTAAGGGAAGGCCAACTGAAATCCCTGCCCCAAGCAGGGCCTTGATAAAGCTCCCCACAGCAGGGGCACATAGGGACACAAAAGAGTTGTGGGGTACCAGTGAAAAGAGGCCTGCAGACAGTTAGTATATGTTAGCTACCCAGTTTTGGTACCTTGTATTCCTACAACTTGCTGGGAAGACTGAGAACCAAAGTTATGCTCCTGTGATCTCCCACAAGGAGATCATCCTCACTCTATGACCTTCGCTCAAGGCAACATCTCACAACACTGAAAAGAAGTAAGCCTCTGCCCTCCTCTCCCCACCCAGCCCGTGTACTAAATCCTCCCTTTGTGCCCACCGAACAACGCAGGAACCAGATCAGATGTGGTCCGAGTAGCCAGAATAACCTATTGTGTGTGAAAGGAGGGAGAGACTAAAGGACTACAGTGAGCTTACGGTAAGTAGGACAGCCATTCATTCAAAGCAAAGAACTTAATCGCAGAATCAGGGAAAGATGCTGGTTCAGCCATTCTGTTTGTTTCTCTCCCTGCCCTCCCATCTCCCCCTCTTCCCTACAGTGATTTCACTTGCATTAGGAAAGCTGATGATTTTCAGTTCCCTTCAGCAGAGTTTCTGGCAAAAGCAAGGCTTTTAAATGTACAGCTGGGCAGAAGATTTGTAAAGAGACATCATTTCAAAAGAAAATGCAAATTGCTGCGACTTTCACCCTTCCCCCCTGCCACTCTTCAGACCTGCTTTACTGTTTAGTAACTCTAAATCACACACCGCTGGGATTGATTTATCAATATGGACTGTAGCCTTTTCTGATGCCCCACTGCCTATTATTTCCCTATTTTAGCAGCCAAAGAACTGGAAGATTGTGAGCTTTGCCAGCCACTGGCTTCTACAGCTTGACAGTTTGGCTTCTGTTACACCCATTTTAAATCAGCCCTTTCTAAAGGTAGGAATTTCTTACCAAAGATATGATATCTTGCCCAACTGAGCAGAAGTGTTGAGTTTCAGGAGACCTGATGTCCCTTGATGGTAATGATACCTGTACTGGACTGGCACCTACCATTTACACAACAGCTCAATCATAACAAGCCCACTTCCTCCCCCAGCACCATGACAGTTGCTTTACAGTGAGGAAGAAATCACCATGACACCAAGATTACTGTTACGTGTAGTAGCTTGGACATTGCTGCAGGACACCACAGTTAACTAATGTTTCTGATTTGGCCTCTTGGACCTGGACGTGACAACTCTTGACTTAGGACCTTTGTGAGAGAGCAGCAGCTGGATCTTCATGGCATTCCAAAAAAGCCAAGGAAAGACTGACCCTTGCCACACATCTCACCTGGCCCCACAGTCTCCAGGTGGGCAGAGCCCAGACATCCTACTGTTGACTCTGTGGGAGGGACTGTGTCCTCATACACAGTTGTATGGGGCTCAGTAACAATGGGGCTGCAACACCAACAGTGGATGCTAGGAAGCATTGCATTGCTCTAGCCAACATCAACCTACTTTCAAGGCCAATTCTCCTTAGGTAGAGAATCGCAACTTGGAGGGAGAAGAAGATTCCTGGAATTAAAACAAGTCTCAGTTTGCTCTTTAAAAGGGACTGCTGAGACCATGTGCAAGAGGTGGTCCAGTGGAGACTTGAGAGAATCCTTGTCACTGACAGTCAGATTTAATTGCCTAAGTCCTTTATTTTCACTTTTATACACTAAAGGATTTCCATAGCCAAATGTACAGGTCAGCCTGTGGCATAAATGGAGCCCCACAAAAGACTTGCCAGAGGCAGAGATGCATTTGGAGTGCCATAAAGCTCAGACACTGATTTCCCTCTTTGCCTGGCTGTTTGCCAGTCTCAGTAATATTCAGACCAGGGCTGTCCCACTTTGGCCAGGTGCTGCATAACATGGGGGCCACATGCTGCAGGGGTGCCCCCCTCTAACCCCTGGATACTGCTGGCTGCATGCAGCCTCCCTATCCCTGGCATAAGTCAGCAGTGTGAGAAGTGGCTGCAAAGACCACATGTTAACTGCTTACAGGTCACTAGTTGGACAGCCCTGATTTAGACGACAGAATGAAACAGAAGGACCTAAGGCAGGGTGGGGCAATTATTTGCGCCTGAGGGCCCTGAATAGGGACTTGGGGCGAGCTGTCACAGGCCAGGACAGCATCCTCCCTTACCCCACTGTCACAGGGCCATGCAGGGAGCGGATCATGGCTCTGCCCCAGGGCCTCGGCCCCACATTGTTAGCTCCCCATGGTCCTGGCCCAACCTGCCCATCCTGAGCCCAAACACTGCTCTCTAGCTGCCTGTGGCTCAATCCCATCTTCCCTGACCATGCAGGTCCTGCCCCCAGCATTGGATACAATGCAGTGGGGCCAGGCCTGGCAGCAGCCAGAAGGAGCCGCTGCTGCTGGGAAGCGAGTCTGGCTACTGCTCCAGCTCGGCTGTGTGCCTGAGGGCAGAGGGATGGACTGGCTACATATGTTATGGTCCCAGCTACCCCCTGCGTCTGGGCTGGGTGGGACCAAAGGACCTGCTGCAGGTCAGATAAAATCCCTGTGTGGGTCATATCTGGTCCATGTAATTTGCCCACCCCTGAGCTAAGGGGTTGCATAGAGGTAACCACACCTTCAGGTTAAATGTGAACAATGCACAAGCAATGGAAGAGAAGTAGCTGGCTCCACTGTTAAGGTTGCAGCAGGGTTTCTGGTAGAAGTTATACAGAAAAGTATAATCTGACAGGAGTCTTGCAGGAAGCCACATGCTAGGAGTTGCAGGAGGATGGAAAGTCTGCTGATAAGAAAAGCAGAGGAGCTCTATGCAAGGAGGTAGGAACTGCCCTGCAGTTTGTGGGGTGCCGAGTTATCTGTCTCTTGTCAAAACAATTTGCTGCACTCACCTAGCATGATGGCATCCACTGCTCCACCAGGACAAAACTCAATCATGATCTAGAAAAACAAGGAGAAAGGAGGGATTAAAGTCATGTACAAATAAAAGGCCTAAAATATTTCTAAAAGGGGAAGCTCTCCATGAGATGGGAAAGGATGGGACTTCCTTTTCAGTTAAATCTGCTTTACCTACTCGCCCTTCCAAAATAGCTGGCTCTCACTAGTTCTCTGTGCTGCCAGATGTATTCACCACTCCACCAGCTGCATGGAGCTGCCTAGGGGCTTTGCTAACCAGTTTCATTCCCAAGGTAGCCTGCCACATAGTCTTCATCTGTTATGTTCTCATCATGCAAGACATTTCATGAGAAACAATGGGACAGAGTCTACATTACTTTATGCTGTTTCCAACAGACACGGCACACATGAACATGGCTGAACCCACCAAAAACCTCATTGGAGGTCCCCACTGCACAGAACTGTAGGAAGCAGAACGGCATTTCCTTGGCAACAACATACAGGCAGTTTGGTTTTATACTCACACACGCAAATCCCACCCAGCCCAGATCCTCATACCTGGAGGCCCATCTGGAGCAAGCTAAAGGTCTAAATCCTGTCTTCATGTTTGTTTACAGTTTTCAACTGCAGTTAGGATCAGGGGCAGTTCCAGATATGTGAACTTGCCAACAGGATGAGATAGCTGTCATAGCAAGGAGCTGACGTGGCTGGAAGAACTATGCAGCATTTTGTTTCTAAAAAGAGGAGTTTGGAATTTTTATTTTTTTTTCATTGTTCAATAGTTCACAGCTCTTGATCTCAAGCAATTTGAGAAAAAAAAATGTTTCAACACAGAGCTGCAGTCAATAGCCAGATTTTTGCTGCTCACCCTAGGGGAATTAGCATTTCCTTACCAATATCCCAGGATTCTTCTGATTTTTGCTACCACCCTTCAAAGTTCAGTCATAGCAACCAACTTTACAGCATTCTTTTAGCTAGCACTGCTCCTTTATCTGTTGGCCTGATCTCTGCTGAACAGCGAGATGCCTCTTGCCCTCTCCCACGTTTCAGAATTTCTGCTCCAACCTCTTGCCCCTTTGGTCAGGGATTCCTACATCAACACCTCAGGGTTACTGGAAATGTGTCAAATCTCCAATGTGGAGGGCAAAGCTGTAGTTTGGCCCTCTTTGCCAGCACATTTTTCATGGAAAACGTCAGCAGCAACCATGAAGATGCCATATTTCCATGCAAAAGGCTTTCCAAACTGAGTGGCCAGATTATAACTGTATTAGCGATGGTCAACGATTTACTGCTCACTCAAGAACAAAAGCCTCTTAGTAGATTAGACACGAGAATGGATTAATGTCATTTGGAGATGATTCCTCAATGTGCTACCGAATTGCATGGCTTTGCCCTTTAGTAGACTGTAGGCAGTACAGACTATAATTATCATTAAGTTTGGCCACTTGGAGACTTAGTCCGATCACAGCAGGTTGCTTTGCTTTATGTCAGAAGAGAGATATCGTCCACAAAGGTTTGACCCAAAACGTGACTGACCTCCTTCCCCGCTTTGTACCGATTTATAACTTTGAGTTCCCACAACAGTAGGCTCAGAGAGTGCATTTAAAATTGCCTGGTTGCCTTCTAAGAGAATTTTGCTATTTTGGGCTAAAATTTAGCCCTAAGAAGTGACCTAATAACTGGCCGCTATGTACTCCAGGGTGCAGGGGAACAATGAGCTCAGCATCAAACTTTCAGGAGTTGAGAGAAGAGTGTGAAAAGACACTTTAAAAAGTGTCCTGGCCATACCTGTCTGTGTCACAGTGCCTTACTGACAACTAGCCAGGCAGGTGAAATGCCAGAGTTTACTACGGAGGGCAATGACCAAGGACAGCGCTGCTGTTTCCTGAAGTGCCACAGGACAGAGCCACATAAATGTCACCTGTCCATGGAGCCGGCTTTTGAGATGAGGCCACACTGATCAGTACTGCCTGGGGAAGAGTGGGAAGGAACTGGGACAATGTTTTACCACCCATTGGTGCTAGAGAGAAGCATTACCTAGATTGTTAAACCTAAGTATCCCCAGTTTAACATGAGTGGAAGTGCAAAGATTGCCCCAAGTCTCACCAGATGGGGTCACTGCATCCCCCTGTCACCAAGAGAGGCCAAAGCAGCCTTGATTAAATGTCAGTCCTCACTTCATTCAGTAGGAGTGGATTCTGCCCCACCCATCTGCAAAGCAGTTCTTCACCTGTGGAGTCTCCTGGATTTCCAGAAGCATTAAAGGCAAAACAGCACTTAGTCATGAACTTCCATCCAGAGGATTAGAGGGCAAGATATTCGCCTGCAATTCAGGACAGCAGGGATTTGTAGAAAGGGCACATGCAAACTAATTAATCGGGAGGAACAAGACACTTAAATCTATTCCAAAATAAAGTTCTTTATTGTTCTTTCTAGGGGCATACGGGCCAGAAGGAAACCCACCTAGAAAAGAAGGCACCTTTATTCATCGGCAGTCCCCTGAACTACTACTCGGCAGCTTGACTGGGTTCAGTTCTGGGACTTATCCTTTTCCAAGGATTCAGAAACCTCCAGCTCAGTCCAGAAACTGGTTCCATGTGACCTGTGTCTGAATCAGTCACAAAGCTTCCTGCCTTATGCCACAAGTCCCAACTGCATGCAAGTCCATGTCCAACAGGAGCACCCACCTACAGGTTCTGCTCCGGAGCATCCAGGTTATTTCTGCACTTTGAATTCTTTGGGGGGATGCACATGTCAGAAGGCAAAGCCTCAGTAAGAGTCAGGGATTTAGAGACCCAGTCTTGAAGCTCTAACATATGTAACTTCAGAGCAGTGCTGAGCACCTCAGCCCCTTCCAAAACAGGAGGTTAAAACTGGCAGCCAGGCAACATTCACTCCCCTGCTGGAAGCATGTAAAGTTAAAATACACTTGACATTTCCCTCCCCATCCCTCCCGTCACTCAGAAGAGATCTGCAGAGGTACAGAAGCTAACGTACAGCTGTCCTCACCAGCCCTCCAGCTCCTCAGCACTCCTAGATAGATGCTCCCTCGGGAGAGCTTGCGTGCTACTCAGCAGTGCGAGAAGACATGGTACTCCAGAGGCTCTGCTTAGGCAGAGGCTATCTTTTGTCTCCAGAGGAGAGCTCTAAGTGATAAACCCGGCTTTGTTTGCATCAATATTTGATGCACTAGACCTTTGAAAAACCTCTCTCTTGGTTTATGGTAGGAGAAGGGAAGGGGGAGGAGAAAGCCAGGAAAGCTAGTACATCTAAAACAGTAGAAAATGACTAAGTGGGTGTCTATGCATGTGCATGCAGCATCGTCAGACTCTGGGAATCTGCTGAAAAATTTTTGAACTTTCCAAAGTCAGAGATGCCAAAGAATAAATCAGGGTGGGGCTGGTTGGTCTAAGCATCTAGAAAGCACTCGGGTTCTTTTTCAGCCCTGAAATCCTAATTTAAATAAATCCTACTCACAGACCTAAATTCATCAAGTCCAATGACCTGAGTTCATCTTTCAGTGCAGGACACGCTGTTCCACACAATGCTGCAGTCCGCGGGGTGGAATGCTAAAGCACGCACTGCCCATCCTGGGAGCACGGCCAGCACAAAGTGAAAACATCAGCGCCTGGGTCTTACAACCATTAATTTGTAAGTCAGGTAGAAATCTTGTTCTGGATGGTCAGCAGCAGCTGTGGTCTCAAATCTGAAGCCATGAAATGAGAGGGCTGAGGAAATCCGCAGAAAGCCGGGATCGGCCACCGCATAGACAGCCTCGTCAGATTTAAAAGCAGAGAGAGGGCAGTGATCTCTCAGCCATTCACACGCCCCAGAGAGCAAGCACCCTGGTTTAAATGAGAATCTGGACAAGTTTAGGACAGTCATAAAAGACTGTGATACGAGTGGATGTGCCTGTGCACTGATCATGCCTGTAACTTATTAAAAGACTTCTGATATAGATTAACTCTGCCCCATGCTAGTTCTCACCTGCTTCACTGTGCTGCCTGGCTGAACGGGTCCATGCCTACATGCCTCTGCAAACTACGCCTAGCCTGGGACCTTGTCATTCCAGGGATGGCACTCATTTCTATCCTCTGATTATGCCCATTTTCATCTCCACACCCCGTGCCACATTAACATCTCTGGGAAGCGAGCCCTTCCCATCCACTCACTAAGACAGCACTTCTCTTAAACCCGTTTGTCCCTTTTCTGGGGAAGAGGAGGCTAACACAGTAAATAAAAACAGACTGAGCAGCCACCCTGTATCTTCATTCAGCTACCTTTCAGAATGCAAATTCTTTGGGAGAGGGAAAATGCAGGCTTACAATGCAACGCACGTGGCTGGGACCTAAAATCTACCCTTCAGCAGCCGAGCACTAATTCCTCTACTGTAGGGGTGTCAAATATGGTTTGCAGGCCAGATCCGGCCCATGGAGCTTCTCCGTCCAGCCACTGCGAGTTGCGGTGGCATGGCCTGCCACACGATTGGAGCTGTTTGGCTCTGGTGGTCATAGCTGCTGGTAGTGAGCTTAGCTTGCTGCCTCTGAGCCCAGATCCATTGACACTGCTGGCAGACACCTGCCTCCTCCAAACCTGGCACTGAGGCAACCATAGCAGTCGTCCCCATGCCCCGGGATGGATCCAACCCATGAGGAGCTCTGCAGTTCAGATCTGACTTGAGGCCCCAGGCGAGTTTGATGCACCTGCTCTACTGATTTGGCACAATAGCATCGCACAGGAACGATGGAACAAATGGCTCGGTGTAGCTAGACGCTAGCCTCCCTCTAACCAAAAAGACTTAAGCCTGGCTCAGCCACCTTCAGCCCTTACTGGATCTTGCACACGGATGACATTAAATGTTTATACCCCTTGCATGCACAGGTAACAGTACTGCTGGGCTGCAGCCTTCTCAGAAAGCCACTTCCTCAAAATACAAAATGAAACTGGGTGATGTGGTGAGCCAACGCACCCCTCCTCCATCCAGGGCCTTGTACTCAACAACAGAGGGAAAACCCACTGCTGGGTCTCTTACAGCAGTTAGGAGG